ATGTTCACCCCAGCGTTTATCAGACTCTGAGAAGTCTTCAACCTGAACGGTATCTGATGCCAGGCTGCCCTTCCAACTTGAAGTAACTTACAGAAGCAAAGGAATGTACCGGCTTTCAGTTGTCAAACACAACAGGAACGGAGAGGCGTAGCAGGCAGCTGTCCGGAACCGAGAAACGGTCAGGCGGTCAGCGCTCAGCGGCTGCCCGCGTGTTGACAGACACACGTTCACCCGCCCTCAATTATTAATAGCGCGATAGATATAAGCCCGACAGCAGAGACGCGCAAACGCCGTATTGCGTACCATGTCTCTTGCGACTCTTACCTCCGCTGCTTTGCTCTTCGCCTCCTCGTTCCGCCTTGCAGGCGCGGTCGCTGCACAGGTTTTCGAACCCCCCTCGAAAGGACCCTTGGTTCAGACCTCCAACTACACCAGTTTCTCGAATAACACTCTCCACAACCCGAGGATAGTTAAAGGAAAGGCCTTCGACCGGATCATCCAGGTGTGGCTCGAAAACACCGACTTTGAGGTACGTACGCAATACGTACAGCAATTGGTTCACCAAGTGGTGGTTGAACTTTAACCGTCTAGACTGCCGCAACCACTCCCGTTTTTGAGGAGCTCGCAAAGCAGGGCCTCTTGTTCACCAACTACAACTCAGTCACCCACCCATCCGAGCCCAATTGTGCGTACATGGGGCATCGTCACGAAGGAGCTCACCCTGCCCATTTTAGATGTTGCCGCACTCGGTGGTGACTTTTTTGGGATGCACGACGATAAGTAGGTACCCTGTCGGTACCTGTCCGTCAACTGTACTGATAGTGGCCCATAAAGTATGTATCACATCCCATCGAACATCAGCACTGTCATCGACTTGCTAGAAGAGAAGCGCATCTCATGGGCGACGTATCAAGAAAACATGCCTGAGGATGGCTACTACGGCTTCTCGTATGAGTTTTTGCTGCTGATGCCCCAACTTGCTCATCGGGCACAGGTTCACCGCTCCGAACTATGGGAATTCGTCTGCCGCGCCTTACCCGTACTACATGCGGAAACACAACCCGCTCATCATTTATGATTCCGTCTCCCAAGATGCGGCCCGGGTCAAGAATATCCGTACTTTCAACGACTTTGCGAACGACGTGGTGAACGGCACGCTCCCTCAGTGGGTGTTCGTTACCCCGAATATGGTCTGTCTTGTCTCTCCTGGGATGCGGCTCGGCCACCCAACTGCCCCCAGGTCAATGATGCGCACGACACAACCATCGACTTCGCCGCCTCTTTCCTCGAGTATTGGCTGCTCCCGCTTCTCACCGACAAACGTGTCAACTGCGACCGCACGCTCATTCTGCTTACCTTCGATGAGAACGAGAGCTCTGTCATTGAAAATACCGTCTTCACATTGGCGCTCGGTAGCCTTCTTCCCAACTCGCTGAACACAATTTATTAAACAATCGTTTCAAGGTGGTGCTGTCCCAAAAAAACTCCATGGTGCCAAGGACAACACCCTGTACACGCACTACTCCTCGCTCAGCACTGTTCAAGCCAACTGGGCGCTCGGGAGTCTCGGCCGTCAGGACACTAACGCGTAAGTCTACCGGATTGCACCTAATCTGCAACTGAATGTTGGCCCTAGCACGGTCTCGAATGTCTTCTCCTTTGTAGCTGAGAAGACAGGGTACAAGAACGTCCACGTACCCGCGAACCAGACCCCGCAGTTCAACCTCTCCGCAGTCGTCCCCGGAGCGCTCAGTACGCCTGCTTTAATTCTCAACCAGACACGAATAATGTCTTTCACGTAGCCTCGGCGAAATTCATTCCCTTTGCCGCGCCGAATCTTAGGGCCAAGGGCGCAGGTGGCGGACCCGTGTTCCTGCGCCCCGGGCTTGACAGAAGGATCACTGCGGCCTCGCTCCCTCCGCCCGTGAACATGCTCGCACTGAACAGCACAACGCCGTGGCAGATGTCGTCCCGCACGATGTCGGGCAAGCAAATTATTCCGTGTGCAAGCAGCGCGTGCCCATGAACGTGCTTTCTGTACTTTTCTTGTACATGCTAAGCTTTGTAACCAAACTCATGAACGAAGCGGCCCATTTTCACAGCTGGATGTACAAATAAACAGCCCTATATACTGCATGACCAGTGAATTCTCCATTCAAGAGTCCACCTCAAAGGATGTCCGCGATATTTATTACTAGTAACCACAGCCGGTACTAGTTTCAACCCGAACTCATGCAGTTTCTTCACCCGAGTCGAGACCAAGATCGGATTCCGGATCGGAGGATGATGCTGCACTCCGAAACGTTCTAGGGGGAACATAGGCGTCGTTCAAAAGGCCAACCATGTGTTCCCGTTCGCGTTTTCTTGACGACCGACTAGGGTATAACTCGGCGATGTCGAAATCGATGATGGTCGCTCGTCCAGCCTCGTCAACGAGCATATTTTCGGGGCGAATGTCGTGGTGTCGTACATTCGCAGCGTGAATGCCATCGAGTACCTGGAGAAAAGCAGCACTAGACCGAATTTAGGAGCGGAAGGTGAGTATTGAGAAGCACGGCACCGTTCTTCGTCAGTAACGGTTACATCCAGGTTCTTGCTCGGCCGGGAACGAATGGAGACGCCAGCGTAGCTCATCACCATCGCCAAAGGTCCTTGCTCAACGTCTTCGAATAGCCCGAAAACGTCGACGACACCTTGAACATGAGCGGCAGACAGATGGCGGTAAATTGAGAACTCATGCCGCATCTTCTCTTTTTGCTTCGCAGAGAAGGCGAATTTGACAACGATACGGACCGTGAGCTCTATGCCGTCGATATCGGAGATCGTAAGAGTTCCGCCGTGCACGATACCGGTGGCGCCTCGCTCGATTTCAGATGTAAGCGTGATCACGATGTACTCATGACGGCGGTAGTGTTTTTTAGCCCTGCATCGACGGTTTGGGCCTGGGTTGTCCATCGTAAGAGAGGGCGCACAGCGTATAAAGGCTGCCGGTCGCTGAGAGTTGAATATACCGTATCGAAAGACGAGCAGGGCAATATTGCGGACACCGATCTCCTGGAGGGCTGCGCTTTAGCAGAGGGCAAAGTGAAAGCCCTTCCAAGGCGTACCACGATACCGAGTTTCGGGGAACTCTCCCCCGCTGGTAGGTCAAGCTTCTGGCGTTTTTCGGGCGGCTCGCCGGCTGCTCGGAAAGAATCGGAATCGCCGCTCGGAGCGGGTCGCGTTTCACTCTCCGTTTTTTTGTGTTGTTCCATGCGATCCACGAGATCAAGCAGGATCGAGATATAGAGCCCAGTGTGGAGTCTCCCGTAGCATGGGTCATCGCAGTCCCGAGGTTCGAGATACTCGGATAGATAAAGTGTTTGGGTTGCGCGATGTCGAAAGCCGATTCGCTCGCTATTTCCGTTGTAGAAAATTATGAAGGTGGAATCTAACGCGGCAGCCCGGGTCCATGCCTGAGGACCTTGATCAAAAGTCGAGTATCGAGCGAGAAGTCTGAACGTACATGTTGCATATATCGATCCGTAAGTGAACTCGGCGACACAGCGTGTCTATTGGGAATAGTTATCGAACCTTCTACCGGGGTCTTAGACGGCGATGCTGTTTTCTTGCGACCGGCTGGTGAAGTCGACACGTTCGTTTTGTTGATCGCACTCAGTCGCAGGCTTCTGCGGGACGGATGAATCTGAGGATAGGGATCCGAGATAGGCGGCTGCGAGGCCATAGCAGGGGCAGGCAGAGTCCAGGGGGTGCTGCCGGAATCCGGAGGAGACATAACGCGGGAGGGACTTGATTCGAATCCCAGAGTGCCGCACAAATACGGGCGGAACGACTCTAGCTCCGCAACCGTACCCATGTCGTCGATAAGCTCGTCCGCCTCTTCGGATGGCATGAACACTTGCCATACAGCTAGGCCAGTGAATCGAGCCATGACATCCAGTACCAGCTTCCGAGTGGCATCATCCAAAGCAGCCCAAAGGGCCGGATAAATCCGGGGGTCCTTTCCTGGAGCCCCCACGGGAATGCGCAAGGCATATTCTTCTTCCAAACCCGGAAACCGCAACGGCGGTTTACATTCGAGTCCGCGGCGCCAGGTAACGACTGCTGCCCAGCAGGGCGCGCGCTGATGCAGAGCGAGCATAGAGGCTACCGGCTGGCAGTACGACGAGGTTGTTGTCCGATAAAACGTGGCAACGTCTTCTGCCGCTCGAACCAATCTTGTTTCGACGGCACGCGCCCGTGCGACGGTGAATTCGCCACCGTTTCTGAGGGGAGGGAGATAGATGCCCTTTTCCTTGACATCTTTGAGGGCCGTGATAACGGTAGAAGCGATATCATTTGGCAGAGATGGCATAGTCCTGACGCATTTTAGACCAAGTTTCTCGTCGAGATGTTTGTCGTAAAAGGTCGTAAGTTCGTGCTTTAGATCGGGGCGAAAGTTCAAACTGGGGTCCTGGGCAACGGGAGGCGGGTTGTAGTCGAAAAGAAGAAAGATTTCGCGGTACAGGGTGTCAATTGCCTCCGAATCCATCGTGAAGGGAGATAGCTTCACAAGCAACAAGGGCCAAGCGTTAGATTTACTAGCACGTGAACGCACATGTCATATATTTAAGGTAGTTTATCAAGGTTAAGTACTTAAGTTATATCACTATTAAATGAAAAAGGTGCGCCTCATCCGAAGCGCGCAATTCAGATCCTGATCCTTCTTGAAGTTCTTCAGAAGAATCTTCGGGAGAAACCACAAAATGCTTTACCTTCCGATAGAGGGGGGCGTTCTCCCTGAGATCAGTTCCGTCTGCTGGCACGAAGGATTCGGAGCACTGCGACGAGAGGTCCATGGAAATTCTTCACCATCATCAGTCGGGTAAAGGAGGACAGCGCTGAAGGGTAGAGGAAATGTATGACGGATTCGGAGTCAGATGTGGAATCTGATTTGAACCCAAGGAACCTGGATCGGCCTTGTCGAGAGTGGGTCCGGAAAGCAGGACAAGAAAACAAAATGACCACCGCAGGGGTCGAACCTGCAATCTCCTGATTAACCTGAATCGTCGTAGTCAGACGCGATGCCATTTCGCCAGGCGGCCATTATAGGAGTTTACAGCTTTGGAGCTATAGTGCTCTTGAATCTGTTGTCCAATGGGCGTGTGGCGCAAGTGTGGCGTGCACCTACTAAGCATAACACATGACCACATGATGACATCTCACTCGACTCCGACGACTCGCCATGTCTGTTGATTCGGACCTAGCAGCGCGCGAACTGTCTAGCCTTCTCGAGTGGAATCCTCCAAAGCTTGTCCAATCCCCGGAATCCCCGTCTCTTTGTGCAGAGCTTATCGCTCCACTTCAGGCGTACTACGACAAGCATCTTCACGCCGCCCTTTCTCTGCGTCATGTCCAACTCATGCCTTCTCTACATAAAGACATTGGCAATGTTGCTTCCAAGCACTTCGCCTCCGTATCTGACAGAGGTCTCCACTCCCCCATCTCTGATCTCCCGAAAGGCTATGGAGGACGTGAGGGAACTTCGGTCGTCGACGCAGCCGATGTGGCTTCTTTCTACAACAAAACCACAGCCTTTTTATGTGTCCGTATCGCATCGAAACTCTTTCTGGCCCCCAGATGTCCGCACTATCCTCAATTTATCATGTGGGGGAATAGCGGTGATTATGTCGAAGGACGGCCCGCATTGGCGGAAGGTTATGGTTTGGTCCTTCCCCTCCAGTCGGGGAAACTAGATATCGAAGAGGAGTATCTGGATATCATGGACGAAGACCTAGTAACCGCCCTTGCGGAGGTTGAACATAGCTCCAAAGTGCCCGGAAATTGGGAAATTCGCGTGGTATCATCCGACGCAGAGGCTCTAGTGACAGATTTAGGTCGATTGGGCCTCGAACCCACTTTTCCATACAAGATATGCAGGACACTCGGATATCCCTCAAAAACATCTGCGCTTTCTCGGCCGGTGGATGCGAACACGATGCCTTGGACTATCCCGCCTGCATCGACAACTTCCGAAGAAGTCCCTTGCCCCACTTCGTCGGTGCGGTATCGTGACCTCATTACACCACTGTAGGATCTCACCGAATGCCTCAGAATCCCCGTCGCAGTGCTCGACTAAATGTCCCCAATAAAGCAGGTGCAGCGCGGACGAGTTCTTCGCGACGTTCCAAAATCAAGGGATCAGGGTCTCTGAAGAAGGTTGTACCTGCCGCTCCTCGCAGACCCAAGAATACTGTTTACGATGGTACCAAGTTGAAGGCGGAGTCGTTCTTACAATTGGTGCGTCCACCATGTGTCCTTCTCTCCCGCCACAACCAACAAGGTGATAGGCATGGTGTCATGCAGTGCGAACAGATGCAACGATCATCGTTTTCCACTGCGGAACGCTTGAGCGGATCGGTGTTCGACATCGCCAAACTCAAACCCTTTATCTATCGGACTTGATAGATGTGAACGACTGCAAAGATCCCGGATACGTCAAACTTCATGTTGGCCTTTACGCCACTCTGATCCAGGATAGCATCGATAGAAATATCCAACAGCGGCAGCGATTGGAGGCGGTGGCGCCAGTCGACAAAGGCCCGGTGGAAAAGAGACCTGATGACGGGGATGTTCTTCCAGGAACGACCCCGAAACGCCTAAAGACATCGCATGCACGGGGTTCGGATTCAGAAACCGAGGTAAGACTAAGTACATCAGCACTTGAAATAATTTAAGCTCTAAAGGATCTAGGCGGCTCTTTCCCTCGCGGGCGCACGCGACCTCATGCTACTGTATGTGCGATACGCTCTCTATGACTCCCAGGCCCCAGCGTCCTTCATTCGTTCTGCGCCGTCTTTGTTGTGTATTTCCCCCGATGGAGCATCTACGACTCCAGGTGTAAAGCGCAGCTACCGCGAGGAAGAGTGTATCAGCATCACTCTGATCAACGAAATCTCTCCTGGCGCCACTGGCATTGCCCATAATGCAGTCCTTCAAGTTGTCGCGTCGGACGGATCTCTCTTTCAAGCCAATGTCATGGTCAAGATTGCATTTATGGCTGACCAACAGACGAGGATGAGACACGAGTACGATATCTACAAGCGCCTGGCCAGCTTCAGCGTCAAAGGTATACCCGAGGTGTACGGACTTTTCGACGATCTCGAAGGCGGCGCCATTGCTCTTGTCATGAGCTTTTGTGGCATCTGTCTCCGGGACCTACGTCCCTCTGGAGGGCGCACCGAATATCCCGTGTCGCCGGCCCAGCGGTAAAGTGCATGCCGAATTCCATTTTTTCTTCGTTGACCCAGCTTCTGACAGGTCACAATTTGTAGACATCCTTGAAAGCATACATCGCGCCGGCGTCCGTCACCACGATATCCGGGCGGAGAATCTGACAATCACTGAGACAGGAACTGCGATTATCGACTTCGACCTCGCCGACCTGAACCCGACGGCAGGTAAAAAACGCCGAGAGATGGAGCGTCTCGATAATGTACTAGGTGGATATCACCCAGAGGGCACCCCGAGTGTCGCGACCACTCAGGCTTCCGCTGCTAGGGATAGTAGCGATGAGGATGGCAAAGAATGATCTGAACTTTGAAGGGGCAACAGACTGCGCTGAGAGATCTACTATCGCGCGCGCCGGACTCGGGTTGACGCTGGCGGAGCTCTCAGCTTTATCCGGCTCCGGGTCGAATTGATGCAGCTTGCAAGACTGACCCTGCGCCGAAGCGCCGACTCTCTGTCAACATCTGCTGAGTGCTGACATTGGCTTGAGAGAGTCTGTCGACCGCGAGTATCCAGGGAGCCGTATTGGCCGAGCGTCTGGCGGAGCTCTGCTTCTCTACAACGAGTGGAGGTGCACTGGCAACTTGCCGTCGTGTAAGAGATCAATCTTACATGTACATGAATTCTGTCTGCTAAGACTAAATGCGGTTCGGTCATCCAGGTATTCTGCATATCAAGTCAGGTCTGTTTCTACATGTCGACTTGGGCGAGCAGAGCTGTCTCAAAATCCCATCGGGAATTCCGGCGGCTTCAAGTCGGCCCCTCCCGCCATCTACATCAAAACATGACAGTCATTTGGTTTACATCACTTGTCAATATGCTCCGAGGCCACAGATAATGACGAGTTTACCACCGCAGCGAGGCTCGCCTTCAGCCGTTGCCGCAGCTGCCCGCCCACGACCGCCGGCGCGTCTCTGCGTGTATAAACCCGCAGTCCCAGCACCGCTGTGTCGTTGTCGTACCCCGACTCCGACACTGTTTCTCCCTCCCCGTGGGATTCTGGCTCCGACAGCGATCCCTGATTGGCAGTGGACACAGCCTCAGCAGGCACGGGTGACCCCGCACCAGAGCGCAGGCCCAGGTCCTCATCCGCGAGGGACGCGGGGATGTCGATGTTAGAGTCCAAATCCGTACCATCAAACTCATCCTCGCGACGGACGCCAAGCTTCTGCGGCTGGGTTTGGTGCCTGCCATGAGCAGAGGCGCGTTTGGCGATGGTGACTGTGTCCGTCGCCGTAGTGTCCTGTTTTTCCACCTTTTTGTTGTCCACCGCGCTATCAGGAGACGCGTCAGGCACAGACTCGAGCTGTTTCAGCGCCGCAGCTCTGAGCTGCTTCTCCGCTTCCTCCGCCTTGGTCTCCAGCTCTGTCAGATCCTGACCTGCGAGGACATCCAGTGGAATCGGCAGGGTACTCAGCACAGCGCTACGCAGTCAACTTCAATATAATAGAGATATGGAGAACATGGAAACACCAACCTGTGTTTGAAATCTACGGAGCACCGTTGAATCGTGAGGATAACGGAAGGATAAGGTTGACGCACTGGAGGCGATGGACTGGCTCTTAGCCCGCTCGGTTTGCACGCGCGCGAGTTTCCGCGTGTCACAGTTCCCGGGGTGATAAACCTGCAATGCGCAAGATAAAGCTCATGTCTCATTGGAGCGGGGGCAGCCCACCTGGACCTCGTTGTTGACCTCGCGGTCCAAGCGAACCTGCACAACTCTTGTTTAGAAGAAAGGCGAGTGGGACGGAAGGAACCACATACGTGGACGATGTACTCACCCGCATCAAGCTGCACCTCGACATTCACACTGCGGAGATAAAACCGCGAGAGGCTGCTCTGCGCAATGATCGCTTTCTGACCTTTCTTGAACAGCGCGAAGTCGAACGTCCAGCATGAGTTGCCGGAGATATCTATGAAGTAGCGCTCATCGAGTTTCGAGAGCACAATCACGGCCTTCGTCGGCGCTGGTATCGAGATTGCGACTATGCGCGCTGTGAGCACCGGTATTCTGTGGGGCATGGGAGACGCACAGGAAATGTCGCCATAGCTCCATGCGGCGGAGCTTGGGCGCGCGGTGACTTGCAGCCACTGCGACGACATCACCCACGAGTCGTCGAAGATCAGCGTCCGCTCCACGAGGTCCCAATTATCGAGGAAATCGGAATCTAATGCCCAAACAAGCATCATCCTCGGGTTCGTAGATGACAGCGCCCATCTTACACTCCATGACAAACTCGCCGTCGTCGCCAAACGCGTGCTGCAAGTGCTTGAGCGCGGGGAGCCACTCCTCCGTCCACTCCTTCGCACCGTCGGACCACGGGCCCGTCCACTCTGAGTCGCCCCATGGGTTTCGCAGCACGACGAAGCGCTTGCCGTTGTACTCGACCGCACGCAGGACAGAGTATGCGTGGCCGCCGATGAGCCCGTTGACTGTGGCATCCTTAATCCCGCTCCGCGTGCTGTCGAGCGTGTCGAACCCGCACCCGAAGAGCCGGTCTTTCGTTGCAAGCAGAAGCTCATCCGTCCAGAACACGTCTGGGTCGAGGATGTCCTGCACGAGTTTAAATCTGCAGCGAAACGCGAAGGGATTCGCTTACTTTGGTCGGGATGAACGTGGAGACACCGCTGCACGTGTTGGAGAGAGGTACATTACGCTTGACCTTGAGAGCTTACCCCGTGAGATCCTCTACTGAAGTATTAGGATTGAACAGGGAGAGGCATGTGCGGGATACCTATCGCCTCGCAAGAAAAGCCCCCTGAAATCGACGCGTAATCGCCGTGCAATTTTGCATATGCCTGCGACATCAAATAC